ATGTATGAAGAGTAGAGAAATTGGCCCATCGAAAACATTTGGAAAGGTTTTCAGATGGATTCTCAAAGCTTCACGGGTGTGCTTTTCTTACCGTACAGCTGCCTTCCTCAATTCTACGGCATTGGCAAAATAGCGATCCTCTGCAAGATCAACGCCCTTGTAAGGCCGCATCACTTCGGTTTCATTGAAAACGTAGTCAGGAAATCTGAAACAGGCTCGATTAGCTCAGGGTTATTCAACAAGTTGCGGTACCTTGGCGTGGAGCACTTATGTAGAGACAAACCCCGCGATTGCCAGATAGTCACCAAGTTCAGAATTTTGGGTGGTCAGTGACTAGTACAAGAGAATGCGAAGGAAACGGGAGACAATGCAGAACAGACCTCGTTTGTTGGGCTGGTGCCCCCCCCCCTTCGCCGACACTTCGATCGTATCAGAGTAGGTAACAAGGGAGAAGGGTCGTACTGAGCCACTCTTTAGGGGATCTTAGGGGTTGCCGTCGCTAATTTCTCTCAAATCAGAGGGAAATAGGAAAGTACGCTCCGCCCCCACCATCGATCAAATACGACCCTCCTCGTTGGGAAATCCTCAATGACGATGTCCCCTATTCTGGACCTGCTGATTCCAGGCCAGAAAATCCGCGTCGCCCCCTGTGCATCCCCTGGTTCACATCCTCCAGGCAGATGCCACTACTACCTTCAAGAAAGAAAGCAAAAAATAGCACAGAAATAAATTTCGTAACACGAAGTGGCTTTGAAAAGTATGTGTGGAAAACTGGGATTACCGTAACCTGACGAGCTATTGCACCGGTAAAATAGCATCACTGTGAACTGTAGCAGTATTAAGACGATCCTTTCTCGTGGAAGAAAGCACGTTTCTTTGCATGTGTCCCTTCGGAAGAGAAAGCATTCAAGCAAAGCAGAATGCCTTCAGTTGCGAAAAGTGGATTAGTTACAGTTGATATCGTCGCATTTGATCGGAGGGCTTTGAAATGGAATGGGTAGACTCACCTGCAGCGTTTTCATCATTGGGTGTGTTACTCCTCAAACTGACCACTGACCAATCACCACGTAGGTCAAGGCGGCCGGGGGTGTGCTCACTCCGCCCCTCTTACACCGCCCAACTAATGGCAAGGTCTACGGGGAACTTGAACTATTCCTGTGAGCGCGTCGAATTTCTGTTTTTTCTCTGCTCTCTCTGGTCCGCGTGGCACTTTATGGTCATTGTGACTTCGCACATTCCAGCTTTTCACGAATGATATGGGGATTTCCCAGCGGGACGGGGTCGTATTTGGTCGCTGGGGGAGGGAGGGGGTCGCATTAGCCGCTGAAAGGAACTTGCC